GGCAGGAGGCAGGAGGCAGGGGAACGCAGGGGCCTGGCTGCCACAGCCTGTCCCTGGGCTCCAGTTTATCTTGGTTTTGATTTGTTTTTATTTTGCTTTGCATGTCCTATCTAAATGTCCATGGCCCATCCCAGGTCATGCACAATTACCCCTGAGAGTCTTCCAGTGTTAGCTCATCTCGTTGGGTGGTTGATCCTTCTGGGTCTGTTTTTGTATGTGGTATGAAGGCCATGCCGCATTCTGCTCCCTGTCATGTCCAGCTGTCCTGGCGCCATTTGGAAAAGAGACTTTCTGTTCCCTGTGGAATGGTCTTGAAACCCTTGCTGAAAATCAGCTGGCCGCAGAGACAAGGCCACAGAGACAAGGCCACAGAGACAGGGGTTTATTTCTGGGCTTTCGGCTCCCATCCCTGGGTCCTCATGTCCACCTTAGGCTAGGGAGCTCACTCTTTTTTTTTTTTTTTGGATAGGTTTTTGCTATAGGGTGCGTGCGCTCGCCCGAAAGACAGAGAGACAGAGAGATAGAAAGCGAGAAATCACCCCCCAGGGGGGATGGCCATGCCACAATCCCTTCTCTTCTATTCTCCTCTCGGGTCCGGGTCCAGGTCTGGGTCTGGGATGCAAACCATGGTCGACTACATGGGAATCCAGCGACATAGCCATTATGCTAACTGCTGGTCCTAGGGCTCACTCTTTTGCTTACTCTGTGTTAGGTGTGACTTTCTGGGGAGCGTGGTGTCTTTTAAAGCTTCCGGGTGACTCCCGGGCAGCTAGGTGGAATTCTGCCCACTGGAGGAAGATGAGGTGTGGTTAGGAAGGCCGTGCGGGAGGCCCTGGAATGAAGCCGGGCAGTTCCAGCAGAGGGAATGTGGCCCTGGACACAGCTGCAGTGAGGGAGTGGAGAGGCCGTGACGGAGTGGAGAGAGGTCAGGGACCATGCTGACCCTTCCTAACTCCAGAAGACCTTGGGGAAGCCAAAGGCAAGCACAGAAGCCAGCGGTCCCACTGGGCCTATTAGCGTCCTCCCCACCCCCGTGTGGCTCAGTCAGGCCCTATTCCACTGTGTGGCCTTGGTCAAGTCGCTCGACCTCTCTGAGCACCCTCCTGGCCTCTGTAAACTGGACCCATGTTCTCCACTTGTTCATGCACAGGGCTGGGGTATGCACAGGCTGAGGGGCTTACAGATGATTCAGTGCATGACCCACACCCCTGCCAGGTGCACGTCAGTTCTCACCTAGCCACCCACAGGGACCACAGCTTCTGGGTGGCTGCAGACACGGCTTGGCTGACCCTACCAGATCGAGCGTCTCCTGCTGAGTGGAGATCTACCTCCCTGTACCGTCTGCTTACCCGAGGCCCGCCCTGCACACCCACCCCCACCTCACCTGGGCTGCCAGGTCCTGGTTCCCGGCTCCCCTCCCAGGATGCAGGTCCAGGTGCACCCTTGACCTCCCAGGGCACTGGTGTGAAGCCTGAGCCTGGAGAGCAGATGCCCGCAAGAACTGTTCACACCCCAGGTGGCCCGGGCCCCAGGACGGCCAGTCTTGCCCACCCGTCTGGGCAGACGCTGGCCTGTATTCCATGCTTCCTGGTTCAGCCCTCAGAGCCAAGGCCAGCCAAGGTTGGGGGTTGGGGGGAACCGTTGCTTCCCTCAGTCTGAACCTTTTGCTTCTATTCATGTAGCTGGAGATGGTATTTGGGGTCCAGTGAGTCCCACCTCCTGATTGGACCCAAGCTCCCCACCTACTCAATGGCCAGGCAGAAAAGGGGTTCAGTGTTACTAACCATCCCACTTTCTGTCGGTGTTTACACGTCACAGAGAACTTTCACCCAAGGGGGAGGGCAGAGCCTCGGCATTAGGCGGGCTATTTTTCTCTTTTACCAAAGCAATTATTTATTTAATTATACGTATTAGGTTGTAGGAAGGTCACAACATATTTTTTGCATAGAAAAATGAAGTAAAAGATGTCATGACTTTCCCAACAACGTCATATCATTATTGTTATTTATTTATTTATTTGGAGAGGTTTTTGCTATAGGACACATGTGCTCACAAGAAAGACAGAGACAGAGAGATAGAAAGCAAGAAATCCCCCCACCCCCCGGGAGGATGGCCACACCACAGTCCCTTCTCCTTCATTCTCTTCTCAGTATCTTGGGCACGCACGCACACATGCCGGTGTGAGTTTAAGCTACTGGGTCCAGGACTAGAACCGCAATCAACTACATGGGAGTCCAGTGACATAGCCATGACGCCATCTGCTGGTCCCTCATTATTGTTTTTTTTAACTTGCTGCAGGGCATGTGCATACATGCACGTGAGAGAGAGAGAGAGAGACAGAGAGAGACAGAAAATGAGAAAGCAAGCCACCAGGTCAGGGACTCAAACTGCAGTCAGCCGTGTGGGAGTCCAGTACCTTAACCTCCACGCCACCAGCTAGGTGGGTATTTTAAGCTAGTTATTAACTTGGGCAAATGCGCTCAGTATACTCTCCTGTTTGAAGGCAGCCGCTATTCGAGCCCCAGACCTGGTGGCTTGAAGATCACGCCAGCTGCTTGTGTATGTGTGCCCCGAATCTCGAGAGAATGGAGGAGAGTGGAGGGGAGAGGATTGTGGCGTGGCCATCCCTGCTAAGGGGTGACTTCTCTCTCCCTGCTAAGGGGTTTCTGCTCTTCCCCTCTCTGTCTCTTTCCAGGGAGCACACATCCTATGGCAGAAACCTAACACAAGGACCACAGAAAGTGTAGAGCAGGGTACTTTCATTACAGCCTACACGTGAAGGAAAAGCCCGGTTGGCTACAGGCGCTGCTTGGTCGCTGCTGTAGCTCATTACCTGCCCTGAGTCCTGGCCCCTGAGCTTTGAAGTTTGCAAAGGTGGCCCCTCCCTGGGGCATAGGCTGAGCCCTGAGTGAAGGAAAGACACCCTGGACCAGAGGACGGAGAGTGGGCTCTGGTCTTGGAAGGCTTTTTATTAGAAAATACATTTTAGGGGCCAGCAGGTGGCATGGTGATTAAGACACTGGACTCCCACATGGCCAACTGTGGTTCAAGTCCTGGACCCGGTGGCTTAAAACTCAAACTGGGTGCATGTGTGTGCTCAAGATCCCGAGAGGAGAGAGGAGAAGGGATTACAGCATGGCCATCCCCCCCGGGGGTGTAATTTCTTGCTTTCTATCTCTGTCTCTCTGGTGACCAAATGCACCCTATAGCAAAAATATCTCCAAAAATATATTTAATTTTCTGGTCCACAGCAAAATTGAAGGGAAAGTACAGAATTCTCAGGTACCTCCTGGCCCCAGTGAAAGCCACTCCTACTGATGCCCCGTACCAGAGGGGTACGCACGTCACGGTCAGTGAACACGCACTGACTCAGAGCTACCACCCAGAGTCTGCAGTACCACCCTACAGCAGGGTCACGTTGGCGTCGTCAGGTTTCCAAGATGTGTTGTGACAAGTACATAGCAGGGGAGGGATGGGGTCGTCTCACTGCCCTAAAATCCCGTGCCCGATCGGTTTGTTCTGTGCGCTCACTAACCCCTGGGGGCATGGATCTTTCTCCTGTCCTGTACTTGTGCCTTGTCAGGAGCATCGTGGATTGGGTTGGCGGGAAAGGTGTGATGCATTCTTGCACAGGAAAAGAGAGCTATGCCGTGAGTTTCTAGACGACCTAATAGTTGGACTCTAGCGATACGTAGGCTTTACGGAGGGACTTCTTTCACTTGGTCATATTCATTCAAGTAAGGTTCTTCCATCGCTTTTCATGGCTTAACAGCTCATTTCTTTCTGCTTCTCTCACCTTTTAAAATACACATGGCATCACGTTTATTACCTTTGAAACAACTTGTATTTTTTAAAGAATTATTTATTTATTGAATTTTATTTATCATTACTACTACTACTATTATTTTCATTTGCTATAGGGTGCATGCACTGACCAGAGAGAGGAGAGAGAGAGAGAGAGAGAGAGAGAGAGAGAAAGCAAGCCTCTCGGTCTGAGACTTGAACTGTGGCCAGCCATGTGGGAGTCCAGTGTCTTAACCACCAGGCTACCTGCTGGCCCCTGCAACAGCTTTAGAATATATATATATATACACACACATATATAATGTATTAAAGACAGTCATTTTGACATCACTACTATCTATTCCTTTTTCTTTTGATTTGTCAGAGAGCACATGTGCTTACCAGAGAGAGAGAGAGAGCGAGCCGGGGTAGGGGGAAAGAAGAAAAGGAGAGAGACTAAGAGGGAGGAGAAAGCACCCCCAGTGGGGTTTGGCCACACTGCAATCCCCCCTCCATTTCTCCATCCTGTCAGGACTTTGGGTACACACCCACATGCACCTACTGTGTTTTTTCAAGCCATTGGGTCTGGGACTTGAACCATGTGCTTGGCTATTTCGGATCCTGCTGCTTTAACCACCAGGCCGTGGACCTAACCCACTACTGTCAAGTTCTAGAACTCTTTTCATATTGCCAAATGAACTTCTAAACCCATTAAACAATAACTCTTTATTCTCTCTCTTCCCAGACCCTGAAACCAACATACCCCTGTCTGAGATTCTGACTGCTTTAAATCCTCATGTAAGTTGGATCATAATGTTTTTGTCTTTTTATGTCTTTTTCGCTTACCGTAACATCTTCAAGATTCGTTCATGTTTTAGCATGTCAGAACTTTCTTCCTTTTTAAGGCTAATATCTCATGTGTGTATATACCTCATTTTCCTTTCCCATTTGTCCCCCGATGCTATAACATCTGTGAGAGATTATGGTATGGACATAGTTCTCAGTCAGTTGGGTTCATACCACGGAGCACACCTGCTAGACTGTACGGTGAGAGTGCGTTTACTTTTGTGAGAGACGACCCAGCTGTCTGTCGCAGGGATTGTACCATTTTGCAGCCCCACCAGCGTGGCATGACAGTCCCTGTCCTCGCCAGCAGCTGGTGGTGTTGGCGTTTTAGATTTCGGCCCTCCTAATACTTAGGTAGCAGTGTCTCATGGTTTTCGTTGGTAGTCCCCTAATGACATAGGATGCCGAGCGTGTTTTTGTATACTTACTCATTCGCCATATATCTTCTTTGGTGAGGTGTCTGTTCAGATCTTTTGCCAGTTTTTCATTGGGTTGTTTTCTTATTGCTGTTTTTTATGAGTTCTTTATGTTTTGGGGTAGCATTCCCTTATCAGATGTGTTTCAGTCTGTGGTTTGTCTTCTCATTCTCTTGACAGTATCTTTCACAAATCATAAGTTTTTTTCTTTTGTTTTTGCCATAGGGCACATGTGTGTGTAAAAAGAGACAAATAGAGACAGAGAGAGAAAAATGAGAAATCAGCCTGCAGGGGGAATGGCCACACAGCAGTTCCTTCTCCTCCATTCTCCTCTTGAGATTTTGGGCATGCGTGCACACACTTTTGGATTTTGGGCATGCGTGCCACCACTCAGAGGGATTTTTTTTTTTTTTTTTTTTAACTCAGAGTGATTTTTAAGCTGCCAGGTCCAGGACTTGAACCGTAGTTGGCCATGTGGGAGTCCAGCATCTTAAGATCACTCCACTTGCTGGCCCCCTACAGATAATAAACTTTTCATTGTATTGAACAACTCTACCTTCCAATGACTTCTTTTGTGTAGCATGCCTTTGAGGTTTTTTATCTTTAGCTCAATCTCCTCCTATGTTACCTTTTAGAAGTTTTATTATTTAAAATTTTACATTTAGGTCTGTGGTCCACTTTGAGTTCATTTTTGTCAAGGGTCTGTGTCTAAATGAATGAGTACTCATTGAGTTTTGCATGTAGAGGTCCAGTTGTTCCAGAGTGTTTGTTAAAGGATGGTCTTTTCTCTGTTGTATTGCCTTCGTTCTTTGGTCGAATAGTAGTGGACTACATGTGAGTCCATTTCTGGGCTTTCTAACCTGTTTCATTGACTTAGTTATCTATATTTTCACCAATATCACACTGTCCGATTACTGTAGCTTAATATTGGGTCATCGAAAAAGTCACGGTGTCTTTTTGCATAGAAAACAAGAAAAATGCATCATGATTTTTTGGACAATGCGATAATAAGTCTTAAAATTGGGTAGTATTAGTCCTTCATTCTTCTCCTTCAATTTTCAATATTCAAAAAACGGTTTTGTCTTTTGTTTTGTCGTTTTGCCTCACGATATAAACTTAGGATCAGTTCATTCATATTCATAAAGTGATTTGTAGAATTTAGAATTGTGTTGAATCTGTAGGTCAAGTTGGGAAGAACTGACATCTTGACAATATCGAGACTTCCTATTTTTGAACAAGAAGTCTCTCTCCATTTCTTTAATTCTTCTTCGATTTCTTTCATCACATTTTTGTAGTTATCCTCGTATAGATCTTGTGTATATTTTTGTTAGATTTACACCTAAATCTTTTACTTCTTTGGGTGCTAATAGAAGTGATTTTGTGTTTTTAATTTCAAATTCCATTCATTGCTGATAGGTAGGAAAGCTATCGACTTTTGTATATTAACCTTATATCTTGCAGCCTTTTCATAATTGCTTATTTTCAGAACTTGTTTTTGTTTTGTCATTTCTTTCATATTTCCTGTATGTATAATCCTGTCATTTGCAAACAAAGACAGTTTTACTTCTTCTTTTCTAACCTGTATTTTTTCTATTTTCTTTTTCTTGTCTTATTGCGTTAGTTAGGACTTCTAATATAATGTTAAAAAGAAGTGTGAGTGGGGACATCTTTGCCTTCTTCCTTGAGTTGAATTTTCTCACTCTTAAATATGTTAACTGTAGATTTCTTGTATATTCTCTCTATAAAGCTAAGTTTCCCCCTAATTTTGCTGAGAGTTTTTTTTAATCATGAATGGGTATTAGAGTTTTTCAAGTGCTTTTTCTGCATCTGTCAATGTGATCATGTGATTTTTTTCTTTTGTATTTTAGCTTGACATCTTAGCATACCCATCACCATTTCTTCCACATTACATCTCTTGGATGGGTCAGTAGATTACATTAATTAATTCTGAATGTTGAACCAGCCTTATATACCTGCAATAATTCCCATTTAGTTATGTTATATAATCATTTTATATATAGTTGGATTTGATTTGCTATTGTTTATTGAGGATTTTCGCATCTATATTTTTTATACTGTGTATTGCATCTATATCCTGTTGTTTTCTTGTAATATCTTTTTTAAAACTTTTAAAAACTAATTTTTTAAATTTAAATTTATTTATTTATTTATTTTAATTTGACCAGTGTGAGACAGAGAGAGAGAGAAAGAGAGGGAAAGTGAGAAAGCAGATTGCCAGGTCTGGTATTTGAACTGCAGTTGGCCACATGGAATCCAGCACCCTTAACCACTATACCACCTACTGGCTCCTGATTTCTTGTAATATCTTTGTATGGTTTTTGTATTAATATAATGCTGACCTCATGAACTGAGTTAGGAAAATTTCTTGTAATATTTTTGTATGGTTTTTGTATTAACATAATGCTGACCTCATGAACTGAGTTAGGAAATATTCTTTCTGTTTTTGTCTTCTGAAAGAGATTGTTGAAAACTGGAATAATTTCTCCTTTAACTGTGTAATAGAATTTACCAGTGAGCCTGTCTGGGCTTGCTCCTTCTGTTTGGAAAGGTTTTTAATTATTGATAAAATTTATTTCATAGATACAGGTTTAGTCACACTGTCGATTTTTTCTTACGTGACTTTTTGAAGATTGTCTCTTTCCTGGAACTTATCTAGGTTATCAAACTCATGTACATAGAATTGTTTATAGCATTTATCATCTCATCAACTGTAGTGATGTCTCCTTTTTCATTTCTGGTATTAGTCATTCGTGTCTCTTTTTGTCTTAGGTATTCTGGCAGAAGTTTATTGATTTTATAGATCTTTTCCAACAACCAGCTTTTAATTTTGTTAGTTTTCTACATTGATTTTGCTCTTTTTGGAGCCTATATTTTAATCATGGCTTTATCACTACCATCTGAAGGATATGGTGGTAAATATCTTTGATTCTCTGAATGTCCGCCTCCACATCCACAGAATCAGTATAAAGGTAACAATACCTAGCCCAGAACTGATTTAAGGGCAAATGTCAAATGTCAGCACACACTCACTAATTAAGCAAATATTTGTTGTGTCCCTACTATGTGCTAGAGATTGCTCTATCTGTTGGGGATATTATTATAAATGAAACGCCAAAGTCTGCCTTCCCGGAGCTTCTATTTAGAGAGAGAAACCAGAAAAGTAAATTGAGTGTCAATCAGTATCAGATACTGTAAAGTTTAGTAAGGAGAGAAAGGGGCAGGAAATGGTTGCTATTCTTGATAAGGCGTACTGGAAAGGTTTCCTGATAATATGTCATTTGAACAGAGACTTGAAGGCAGTGAGAAATGAGCCTTAACATTATCTGGGTGAAAAGCCTTCCAGGCAGGGGGAGTAGTAGGAGTCAGGGACATTAGGCAGAAAAGCAGCTGGCACATTGGATGACCAGGGAGAAGGCCAGGGTGCTAGGGTGAGGGTAGTCTGGATGGGGAGGAGGCTAGAAGGTGATTGGAAGCCTAGCACAGAGGGTGCTGCTGACCAAGGTAAAGATTTTGATTTTTAATTCCAGGTGTGTGATGTGAAGCCAGTAAGCAGGGAAAGGGCATGCCTGAATTTACAGATCACAAACCACAAGGGCAGGGAGACCATGTGAAGCCCGATGTTAGAATCCCTGCAAGAGGTGGGTTGGTTCGGAAGGGCGAAATGGTGGAGGAGGTGCTGAGAAGTCAGAGTGTTCAGAATCTCTTTGAAAGTAGAGCTGATTTGGAATCTGCTGATGGATTGGAGAGGGTGAGAGGAGGATGAGTCAAGGACGACCACAGTTTCTGGCCCAGATGGAGGAGCCTGGATGGGCTTGGGTGGAGGGTGGAGGGAGGACATACTGAGTTCCGTTTTGAGCATTTTGAGTTGAGACACCTATTAGCCACTGAGGTGGGAGAAGTGGGTGGATGGATTTGTGAGTCTGGAGTTCAGGGATGGGATTGGGCTGGAGAGACGAAGAGTAGCCATCAGCTCGTAGAGCGTATTTCAAACCTTGGGCCTTAATGAGACCTCCCAGGCTGGGAGTGTAGGTAGAAAAGCTCATGGGGGACGGAGCGGCCATCCAGGGCAGTCAGGTGTCTGAGCAAGGTCTGGCGCCAGGCAAGAGTAGACATGTTGGAACAGAGGTGGGCACCTTCGGTCAGGGACAGAAGCGAGCAGCCCGAGGGTGAGGAGGAATGCAGCTCTGTGCTCTCTCTAAGGTCCGGCTCCCTCTTCTACCTGCTCCTACTCACGCATTCCTTCACTCGAACCAGAACATTTACCAAGTGGGAATTACACTCCAAGCACAGAGCCATTTATCTCTGGGCCCTAGAGGTGAATGACACTTAGTGCCTGCTGAGGGGACCCCCATTCAGCTGTTGGTGCCCAACAGAAAATGCAATAGACACGGCAAAGACGGGGTGGGCGTATTAGGTTTTCCAGAGAGACCAACCAATAGGACAGGTGTGTAGAGAGATCTATTACAATAAATCTACTTACGTGATTGTAGGGGCTGAGGAGTCCTAAAATCAGTA